GCTTGTGGAATCCGGCACCTGACCGCGGTTTGGAGGCTTCCAGCGCAAGAGTCCTGGTGTTTTGTTTCATTTGTTGTTGTTGTTGAGACAAGGTCTCCATATTTAATTTAGTCTTGGCTGGCCTGAAACTTGCCATGTAAACCAGGCTGGCCCCGAACTCTGAGAGATTGGCTTGTCTCTGCCTCTGAATGCTGGGATTAAAGGCATGCACCACCACATCCAGCTGAGAGTCCTGGTTTTGATCCCTTTGAAAACATGCCTCTGTCTATGCTACCAAAGTGTGGATAGGGGGCCCCTGACTCCTGACTTAAACAGCAGTTATTTATGATCTTGACTGATGTAATCTGTGTTTGATTTCGTATCAAGGTGAGAGAAGATTCTTCCACTAGAGCAATGATTCTCAATCTTCCTAACACTGTGACCCTTTATAGGTCCTCATGTTGTGGTGACCCCAACCATAAAATTATTTTTGCTGTTGCTTCATGACTGTAATTTTGCTACTCTTATGAATTGGAATGAAAATGTGTTTTCCGATGGTCCTAGGTAACCTCTGTGAAAGGGTCCTTAGGTGCCCCGTAAGGGTCGTGACCCACAGGTTGAGAACCACTGCACTAGCGGCTCTTAGAGGCTCTAACATCTAACATCTAACCCATAAAAAGTGTTAAACCAACCGTTCCCAGGTGGGTCCTCTGCTGATACTTCGTGTAGACTTTCACTTTCCAAAACAAACTTTCGCTTAGCGGTTTCTGTTCTTTTTTTTTTTTTTTTTTTTCCCCCTCAGCTCGTGCTCATTTCTTCAAGGAGGGAGGAGCTGCTCATTTCACGCATGTGGTGGAGACTGGCGGAGCAGCCCTGCAGCTTTATTCCGGACACGGCTACCTACCGTCTACTAATTCGTACTTACTGTGTGTGTTGTGCAGCTCTCTCTGCAGCGTGAGGTGTTCACTGAAGTGTGCTGCTGCCAGGGAAAGTTCGTGTGTGTCTCTGTGATGCTAGGGTTGAACCCAGGGTTCCACACACGCTAGGCAGGAAGTCTGCGCTGAGCAGTCAGCTCAGCAATTTCACTCCCTCCCCACTTCCTTTATAAGACAAGGTTCAAGTTGCTGAAACTGCACTCCCCCCCCCCCTTTTTGTTTGTTTGTTTTTTGAGACAGCGTTTCTCTGTAGCTTTGGAACCTGTCCTGAAACTCCCTTTGTAGCCTCAAACTCTAAGAGATCTGCCTATCTATGCCTCTAGAGTACTGGGATTAAAGGTACGTGCCACCACCACCACCTAGCACCCGCCCCTCCTTTGAGACAGGGTCTCACTATGTAGCCCTGGCTAGCCTGGAACTTCTGATATAGACCAGAGAGGGCTCAAACTCAGAGATCCTCCTGTCTCATTCTCCCCAGATGCCCAGGACTGGGATTACAGTTCTACATCACTATAGTGCCTAAACTTTGTTTATTTGTTTGATTGGTTGATTGATTTTGAGACAGGGGTCTTATTATAGTGCTCACCTAGCTTCCAGTTTCTGAGTTTACATGTTCTTTTTGCCTCAGCTGCCTCTGTGCTTGAGGTGTAGGCAATTACCATTGCACTGGGTTCTTGTTGTTGCTCTCTTTGTCTGTTCCAATCATGATGAATTAAACGTTGAGAAATTGACAGTTGGAAGGGGATGGGGTCTGTCCTGAAAAAAGGCCTGACAAAAAGTAGCCCTAAACAGTTGGAGAGGGACCTGCCTGGGGTCCTCAACAAGGACTAGTCTAAGTCACAGGATGCCCTGGCTCTCAGAGACGCTAATGCAGAGGAGAAGGTCTTGGAGGCGCTCCCCATCGTTATCCTGGTGTGATGAGGATCGGCTTTCAAATGTGTACAAAATTATGTGTAGCGGGACACTGGACTTTCTGAGGGCCCTGCCTGCTCCTTTTAGTTCGCGAGAATTAAGACAGCTCAGAGAAGCGTGGGAACCAAAGTCTGGACGCCGACAAAAGTCCTGGGAATCCTGAGGGAGGCTCCCACCTGGCGTCCGGGACTAAAAATTCAGCTTCTCTTTCACCAAGTGGCCCAGAAGAGCTACGCCTGCGCAGTGAGAGCGCTCGGCCATGCTCCGGGGGCGGGGAGGCCTCAGTGCGCACGCAGGACCCGAGGCGGAACCAATGCCGGGGTCTGAAGGGCTGCGCCGGGCTGGGGCGGGCCACAGGAGGGCCTGGGCGGGGCCTCGAGGCCGGTTTGGAATTTTTGGCGCGAGCTGGCTCCGCGCGCGTTCACGGGCCGTTCCCCTTCTGAGAGAGTGCTTCGTCCCGGTGTCCAGAGGAGCCGCTGCCCGACCCCGACCTGCCTGGCCTCTGTGAAGCCCTCAGCGGCCCCCGCCGACCCGGAACCTGGGACCTCGCTGC